ACCTGTATTGTGAAGACTTGGGAACCGAGAGCGCCACTTAGTCCGGAAGGGACTAAAAGTGGACGAAACTAGGGTTCTGGAATGTAAATCAAAAAATATATAAATGTATGTTTCTATATAATATATGGTTCTGGCGTGATTTTGAAACCGTAATGGTTTTTCGTCGAAGATTTTTAGGCAAATATTATATTTAGGTTTTCTACTGATATTGTGTTGATTGTTCTCTAAATCAAGGTACCTCAAGAACACTGCTGGTTCGTAAAATATTTTTTTTCACCTTTGCGATATTTTTTTTATAAATATTAGTCCCTATAAAACACATTAAACATTTTTTCGATATGCAGTACATTTTGATTTAAGAAGCACTGCTCTAAGAACTTTGTAGAATCAGTTAGTCATATGTTTAACCACTATATGATGGTACATATTTATTCACATGATCGGAATAAATATAATTCTTCTGGAATTCTGAGCGATTGGTGTCATGTCAAGTACGCGATTTCCGCTGTGTCGCCAACGTTTTGATTGAAAGCAGTTTTACAAGTCTTAAATATACTAATTTGTATTGATAAGTACATTATCTTAATCTATAATTATTAAACAAAAAAAAAAGAGAAATTAGCATAAATACTTCAACGATCGCAACTCATCTTGAGTTTTGAGTTGGTTTTATTATTTTAAAGGGCTTGTAAAAATCGTGATTGATCAGATAATTTATTTTTTATCTGCGATATGTTATATTACAAAACATCATAAAATTTATAAAAATATTATTTACTTCGTATATCGAGAAGACAAAAATGTACATAGTAAAGTACATACATAAAAAATGTCATATGTTAAGAACTTCAATTTAAATGCAAATTACTTAAAGCTCAAGCTTTTCAATTAAAAAGAAAATTTATTGCTTTCTGTAAATGTACTTAAGTATCTTTAAGTTATTAATAGTTTTGAAATGGCATTAAGATAAGTAACCAACAAAATTCGATTATAGTTAACACATTGAATAGGTGATTCATATGCAATACGTAAACTTTAATTCTCTAAAAATAAAATGGAAATACCAATAATTTACATTTGAATAATGCAATCTTCTGAAAACTTTTTAAAGGTTTGTAAAAATAATCACAACAAAAAGTCCATATTTCTAATTTAATAAATAAATGCAATTTTTAAATAAAACATATGCGACAATGTGATAATCTAGTTTGATTATTATATGTGAAGACATTGATATCACAGTTTTCTTACTGAGATAGATGAGCTGGCGTACTTCCAGGAAATGACTCAGTATCACTGATTTCTCTCATCATGAAAAAATCTATATCTAAAATAATAAACCCATATCTAAAAAAATTAAAGTAATTGATATTGTATCTTTCGTACAGATCTTCGCATAGTAAGTGATCACAGCTTTATACAATATGTATTATACATAAAGAAAGAAAGTCACTATTAAAGAGCGTGTGTTCTTGGAGGTATTAGATTTGGCACAGATTCTCAATAATAGGAGGCCTCTAAAATTGTACAACAGCGACGTGTATGCGCTATCCAAGAACAAAGCAGATATGAGACACTTTCATCGTCCTGTCTACAATTGCGATAGGAACGGTATTAAAAGAGGGCTTTCTAGTGCATCGTCTATAGTGCATCGCACTGAGAATATTGGATTATTTCTTACTACAACTTGCATACAGATGTCTACATATCATTGAGTCCTCCCAACTTTAATTAAAAAGTTCAGCACAGATAGAATTCAGCAACAGTTTGAATGATAACAACGAATGATATAAGGTGTTCCAAGCGATTACCTCAAGCATCCCGTTGCTTTGCGATTGCCGAAAATATCCTTAAGACCGGGAATGCATATTAAAGAAATGTTGACATCTCAACATTTCTGAAATGCGTCGACATCTAATTAAGAGATGTGCACCAGTCAAAAACCATGCTGGATGTAAATTGGACTGAACTTAAGAGTTTTAAATCAGCTTAATTGTCTGATTGTATGTATATATTTTCATTAAGTATGTTATCTACTTCCAAATTCGCTATAGTTTCCCTAATAGTAATCAGTAATCACTAGAAATAAATAAGTAAAAAACAAAAAAAATAGGTTCAACAAATTAGCCCGCATCCTGGTATCTCAAGGTACAATTATTTATGTTCAAATGTGCTTAAACCAAACTTAACTTAATCATTAATAGTGAAATGGATCAAAGATGTTGTTGTTGTTGTTATAACCCGGTGGGACCTGTAAGCACATATCATGAAAGGATAAACAAGACGATTACATGGGTAGGGAAGTGGATGGATAGTGGTTGGGAGGGAGATGGAGAATGGGAAAAGATTGAGTGGAATATAATTGAACGTTAGCCTGGATCCAGGTATAGAAACCTGACCACTTCAATGGGTTGTATCCAAAGATCAATTGGAAGGAGATTTTGGAAGAATAGATGGGCGACGTCATGGGGAGAGGAGCTGGAGTTAGGGCACACATTTGGAATAGACTAGTATATGCGTGACAAGTAACTGTTTACCACTCGGCTATATACTGATCTTAATTGAGCTAGGACAGTTCTTGATGCACGGGTGAGGTGTCGTTCTTCCAGGGAGATGTCAGGCGGAGTTCTATTGTCAGCCAACTTGTAAATCCACGTTTATCAAGGAAGATAATTTATTATTACATTTATTATAAATTCAGTAATCGACACTGCAATCACTGCTCTACGATGACTAAGTGCATTATCAGTGTTTTTGCATTAGAATAAAACGGGTTATAGCAACGCAGCAATATAAACGCAAGTAAATGTCTAAAGCACTTTTACTCAATAATGTCGGTGACCACTTGGATGATTCATTGTAATAAGAGCTCTGTTCAATTCTGATAAGTTATTCAGATGATTTTATAGAAGTATATTTTGAATAAGTGGATAATTATTTAAGAAAATATTTAAATGAATATTTTTATAATTATTATAATTTTTATTAAAGAATTAAATAAAACTGTTTAAAAGTAGTTATGTAGTCATTTAAAACTGTACTCCATTAAATTGTTGCTTATTTACGAAATTTATCACTTACAACGATAAAGCACGGTCTACTATCTGTCAGAGAAGATCGTATTGACTTTAGGGAAAGTGTGCGTATTTAAAGGGCGTGTAGAAAAAACAGGGAAAATTTCAAGTGATAAGTTATTGCGGGTAAAATTTATAATACAGTCAAACTTCCACAACTCAAACTATATTAACTCGAACTAAAAAGAGTGTAACAGGGTTTTAGAGAGCAAATTATATACTCGCTTCCATAACTCAAACTTTTTTAACTCGAATTTCTTTATAACTGGAATAAAAATATTGTCACGTGCCAATAGGAATGTATAGGAAAGTGCATTCTAACATATAAGTCGAACGTTTTTTTTAAGTAAGAAACCATTTTGGTGTTAGGGGAATTCCCTTTTTCCAAATCAAGTGTTAAATTTTTTCTTTCTTATGTTGATTCTTTGTGAAAATGCCAGTCGCTGGTAGCGTGGTTTAAAGTAAATAAAATAAATTCCAATGAGTAGCATTAACGATTATATTGAGCTTAACAATGCAATTTGTACAACAAGCTTTCCTATAGATGACGATATTATTGAGCTTTATAGCTCTGACTTAGTGGATCCGATTCTAAGCGCAACGGAAAGTGATGATGAGGGTTCGGTGGATTGAAATTGTTCATTAGCCTTTCAAGAATGAAGTAGAAGACTCATTCAATATTCTGAATTTTTATTTAAAACGAATGATACTCCAACTAATGATCACTATAAGAGTATGAATAAAGTGAAATCTCTTTTTGCTGAAATTAGGAGATTCTGATTTCTGAATGATTTACTTCACTATAACTTCTGTGCTGTATTTGATTTGATATAAATAAATATCTTAGGACGTGTGCGAGTTGGGCTAAGTTAATGCTAAACCAAATGGAAGATTTTTTGGGACTTTTTGCACTGCACACATTTAGCCATTTATCAACACGTATCGACACATCACTACATTATCGGCACAACTTAGAATTTCCCTCATTTAGAACGCAACTTAGCCTAACTCGAACACGTCCTTAAAATGTAATTCTTATTTCTTTCAAAAATTAAAAAAAAATAAAATAAATTCTCTAACTCGAACTCTCCATAAGTCGAACCTTTTCTTTGCAAAATAGTACTTCGAGTTATGGAAGTTTGACTGTATATATAGAAAATATATAAAATAAATCGGCATATATTTATAAATATGAATTTTATATATATTTATGTTATAGCCATTGATAGTCTTAAAAAGTTTTATCAACATTATCATCCATCCTATTATATAGATTATAGATTGTTATAGATTGGGGTAATCTCTAGCCCTGTCAACTATGCGATAACTTAAGGTCAGACTTAATTAAAAAACACTTCCCCAAGTACGAGTTTGGTTTTGTATAATAATTAAAGTGATTTTTTTTTCATATTATTAAATGCTATACGAAATGATAAAATTAAATTTAATGTAGCAATTTACCTTAACCAGCCGACCATATAAAATCTATTACAATTCACTTAAATTATAAATAAAGTTCAATTTAGAAAAAAAAAAGTGAATTAACTGAATGAACATGAATAAATTTACAATCACAGCAAAATATTTTAAAAGTCTAATCAAATTCAATTTAATTACCTGTCACTATAAAATTTGATTATTTTAGAATTTTAATGAATTTTGTAAAAGTAGAAAGTGACAATCAGAGGCAGTTTTAATTATTTTTTGTTTTTTTTTTCTATCTCTGTTAACAGATATTTTTTTCCTGTATTTTGAAGTGCCGCACACTGCACGCCACTTATTCCATAAATTCTAGCGTAAGCAAAATTCGTAGTACGTCGTAGTGAACACGAAAATCCAGTTTCATCTATTCATCTACCCAACGACTACCACCACTTAAACTTAGAAAAATTATGTTTATTGCACAATCGATTTTACAATACTTACAAAAATTATAAATAAATTTCACACAAAGAATTTAGAAAGCGCTTTATTACGAAATGTATAATTAATTGGCTTCTTTCTTGAGCGAAGGGAAAAAAACATCACAGAAAAATTGAAGATGTCACTGCATTTAAATTGTGTACACTTTTTGTTTTCTTTAAGTTTTTTTAATATTTTAATTTATTTATTTTAATTTCAGTTGATGCACTACAAACAAATTAGTTTTCTTTTTTTTAATTTTTGTATTTTTTTATATTTTAATTAAAATTTATTATCCTCCACCACCCATAATCGTGTCTGTCTCTGCACTGATTCTTGATTTTTGTAATTTTGCGGTATTCTTTCAACGCACTTTCAACAATTTCCACAATTCAAACAATGAAGAGTAGATGGAGGTAATGCAAGAAGCCAAAACTCGTTGTAAACAATACATAACAATAACAGCTGTTGGTGTAATTCACAATAAGTGGGCAATTCGCAATAGCAAATCTTGTATAGTTTAAATGACATTTCAATCCTGAAGATAGGAAAGTATGGACGTGTGAGAGTTAAGCTAAGTTGCGTTCTAAATGAGGGAAATTCTAAGTTGTGCCGATAATGTAGTGATGTGTTGATACGTGTTGATAAATGGCTAAATGTGTCCAGTGCAAAAAATCCCAAAAAATCTCCCATTTGGTTTAGCATTAACTTAGCCCAACTCGCACACGTCCTATATTCTTAATTGCAACTCCTTTTTAATAAGAAAATTTTTTTGAATAGTAGTGTTTTACAACTACAAAATTAATAAAATTAATATTTTAAACTTTTATTTTTTATAGCAATTTTTTAATTTTTTCGTAATACTCTGTTCAGACAGCCTAATTTCCTTATAATATGTTCAGACACACTACTAATTTTTTCAATACAAAATTCAGTTTTGAGGTTAAATCGAAATTAAGGAATATGGCTTTAATTTCATTAAAACAAAGGCTGAAATTAAGGGAAATTTCAAACGCAACTATGCGAAAGATAAATTTTAAGCAAGAAATAAGTTAGGATAACGAAAAGATGACAATTATTTTTAAAAGCAGCTGACTTTAATAAAACCGGGAAAAAAGCTTGAAAATAATAAAATTTTTTAATTTCAATGTAAAGAAAAAACTGTGACTTGATTCGAAATAAAGTGAAAAATAACAATCCACATAACTGAAATCCACTAAAGCTAATAAAACTACTGAATACAACCTTTATAGTTATCATAATATAATTTTTATAATTTCCCAAATACAAATGATGTTTGGAGCATGTAATTTTTAACATTCGATTTGTAAATAAAATACATATGATTTCTTTAATTTGGGGAAAATGTTTATTTCGAAATTTACTTAATTTCAGTTTTACGAAATTAAGGAAATTTGGCTGGTTGAACATAGTATTTGTTTGTTTGATAACAATACATAATTATGGTAAATGGAGTTCACCTTTGTTTTACCTTAAAATGAAAATTAATAGTAGTGCGGTAATTTCAAAAAAAAAATAAATTTACGTTACAATTAATCGAAAACCCAGTAACTGAATTTGGTCTATTTCTATATTAGGGAATTTCGGTGGTTCGCAAGTACGGCAAAAAACAGTAAGTTGCTGGCCTATCCTGGCCTATACTGGCCGAAATGTACACAAAACAACAACACTATTTTCTCTGCTCGGCCAGTATAGCTATGCTGGCCAACCACATCGGCCAGTAAAAAAAAAGTGTCACCAACGCAATAAGCGAACTATTGTGAACATTTATTGGAAATTCCAACGAATATTGCAATCATATGTCAAAAATTATATGTAAACAAAAATTCAAACAAAATTTAAAAATTAAGAAAAAAGCAAAAGATTGAACAATGTGTAAAAATCTTGAAAAATAATGAAGAAATAATAAAAAAGCAAAAGATTGAACAATATAGAATGCTACTTGACACGAAGAGAGAGTTTTTGGAAACTAAAAAAAAGACTTGGATACCAACATGTACTTGAGGACATGACAGCAGATAGAATTGCCGTAAGTGTCACATAACTTCGCATGAATCGCCAATGAATGAATCGCCAACGCAAGAATCACCAACGAAAGGATCGACAACGCAAGAATCGCCAATGCAGGAATTGGCATAATTTTCAACTTTATTATTCAACCGCAAAAGAGAATCTGTGCGTCAAGAATATTATGAAAAGAAGTTATTTGCTAAGAAAAGGATAGGGGAAGAGAAAATAAAATTTTTTAAAGAAACTATGAATGAATTAAAGGAAAAAATAAAAAAGAAATGGGATCATGAATTGAAATTAGAAGAAAGAAAATTGAAATTGGAAGAAAATAAATTTAAATTACATGAAAAACTTACGCAAAATATGTAAATATATTTATATAAATTTTAGAAAAAAGTTATGTACAAGTTAAAATAAATTAAATAAGTTGATATAATAAAGAAATAAGAATAAATAAATAAGTTGATAATATAATTAAAAATAAGTTATATTCATTTCATGTAATATATATGTTTAAGTTTAGAATTTCTTTAATTCATATTTAAATTTATTTTACTTTTATGTAAAATATTTTCAAGTAAGTATCTAGTAGTAGTAGTATAGTATTTTTATTTTAGTTCAAAAACATAATATTTCAATCTTAAAACTAATCTTACACGTTAATTTGTGATATTAATAAATAAATTACAAAATATTTACATATTAAAATATTGTTTCTTATTGAACTAAACTACTCATATAATTGTAACACAAAATTTTCTATTTAAAAAATTACAATAAATGTATTAATTAATAACCTCGGGAGCTGCAAAACATTGCTTTTTTCTCCCAGCATTGAGAGTACCTACAAAAATTTACTTATCTCATTGTTTTATTCCTAAATTTCAAATATTCTTACCATTTCTTTTAATTTCGTGTTTATTTTAATTTTTTAATATTTTTATAAAAATATACTTTACTTGATTTTTATGCACATAAAGAAGATTTGCAGTTGGTGAAAACAAAACATTTGACACATTGCAGCAGTGATGTCAATGCCTCGCGTGGCTAACATAGGCCAGCACGCATTTTTTGCCTTACTTGCTAGCCACCGAAAAGGCCTATTATATCTGGTTATATCAAATACCAGATCTATTTTACAAACTATATGTATCTCTTAATAACACGATTAAGTGTTCAAAAGTTTACCTATTAGTAACAAATTTTGTGTTATTTTGTTATAATCAACAATAGGCGTATTCGGTGGCTCGCAAGTACGGCAAAAAACAGCAAGTTGTTGGCCTATGCAGGCCTATACTGGCCGCAATGTACGCAAAACAACAACACTATTTTCTCTACCTCGGCCAGCATAGTTATGCTGGCCAATCACATCGGCCAGTAAAAAAGAAAATGTTACCAACGCAATAAGCGAACTATTGTGAACCTTCATTGAAAATTCCAACGAATAGTGCAATCAAATGTCAAACATTGAGGAAATAAAAATTCAAACAGAATTCAAAAATTTGAAAAATATTGAAAAGTAACGAAGAAATAATAAGAATGGAGAAATCGTAAGTATTAAGCACATTGAATTTTTTATTATGTTAGTTATTACCAAGTTGCATTTATTTTATTTCATATAATTTGTAGTTTACATACGTAAAATTAATAAAACAAACATAATTTTTGAAGTTTTTCTAAAAAATTTTTTTATAGAAATACACGCAAACTATGGACCACAAAGGAAACGAAGTGTTTTCTAGAGTGCATTCATAACATTTAAAAAATCCGTGAAATAACTTGCATCCCTCGGCCGCTGCAAAACGTTGCTTTCTTCTCCCAACATCGTCAGTACCTACAAAAATTTACTTATCTTAGTGTTTTATTTTTAAATTTCCAATATTCTTACCATTCCTTTTAATTCCGTGTTCATTTTAATTTTATAATATTTTTATATAAATATATTTGATTTATATGCACATATACAAGATTTGCTGTTTGTCAAAACAAAACACAGTGATGTCAAATGACTCGCGTGGCCAACATAGGCCAACATGCATTTTTTGCCGTACTTGCGAGCCACCGAAAAGGCCTAATAGTCCTTTCTATTCAACAACATTGAGTTTCTTTTTGCCTTTACTTCTTTACTTTTTTTAGATCGGATATTATTTGATCAGTCTATTGTGAATGTTTTTTTACACACTTGTCAAATTTGCACTAATTATATTTTATTGCTGACAGTACAGAACGTTTGCTACTAATCTTTAAATAAAATATCGTGTTTTGCATTTTATTCAAAATATATTTTTAATCAAAAAGGCAAAAATTGTGAATTTTCGTCTAACAAAGTTTAATAATGAAATTGTTTTTACTTTAAATTAAATGAGGATATTTTATGTGTTACTCAAGTAAACATATAAAATTTTAAAGATACATAAATATTTGATGTGTTGAAGTTAAAATTTACATTGACATAATTTCAGTATTGTTCTTGCTTTCGGTAACAGCAAATTATATCGCTCGTATCGCTGAAGTATTAAATTTGAAATAAATATTGATATATCAATTGTTATCCTGTGCACAGTTAAGTGGCCGGTATTTAAAAAATTTGAATTTCAAATATTTGATTTATTGTGAATAAGTACTTCTGTACTTATCGATAAACTTTACTTCATTTCTTCGAAACACAATTTTTGTTGGTTGGCGAGAACTAAAAAGTAGTTAGAAGATTAAAAAATTATTTGTGCTTTAAGTTGTTTAGTTGACATATAATGGAAGCAGAAAATTTAACTGGTAAAATGCCAATACAACTTGATGTTGTACCTAATAATAAGGGTAAGGTTGACAACGTGACAGTCGACATAAACGCTAAAGTTGCAACGCCTAATAAAGGTGATGTAGTATCCGAGGTTAGTACGGATACTATTATTGAGCCAGAAAAATCCAACGATGTTCATCCAGCAGTATTAACTTTGTCTGATACAGAGGAGCCATCACAGCCAGCTAAATCGAGCAAGAAACGCAAAAGCACAAGTTCTTTTTCGACATCTGTATACGATGATCAAATATTAAAGCGACGTAAAATTAAAGTCGCTGGTGCTCCAAAGATGCCGGTGACAGGTATTTTAAATTTCATTTAATATAACTGATTTATTATATTAAATATTTTATTCAAAATTTTAGGATATGTGCGTTACATGAATGAGAGACGTGAAACCATGCGAAAGGAATTTCCTACCAAGACGGCTATGGAACACACCAGAATGATTGCTGAAGAATGGGGGCAACTATCAGAAGAACGGAAAGCTCCCTACATTAAAGCAGCAGCAATAGAAAGAAAAAAGTAAGATTATTATCGTTGTATATACAGTCAAAATTTCGTAACTCGAAGTACCATTTTGCAAAGAAATGGTTCGACTTCGAGTTAAACAAATTTTTTGTAATTGTATGTAATTTGCTCTCTAAACCCTGTTGCACTCTATTTAGTTAGAGTTATAGAAAATTCGAGTTATAGAAGTTTGAGTTATGGAAGTTTGACTGTATTTTGTTACATTATTAGGTTTCATTATTTATAATTATAAGTTTTAATACTTATTACTTTATTCTACATAAAATGTATTCGAACATCTCGTAGTAAAAACACAACCAGTAAATTTTTAATTTCTATCTTATCCTTATATATAATAAAAACTTATTTTCTATTAACAGATATTTAGCTGATTTACAAGTCTTTCTTAAAGCCCATCCTGATGTGCTAGCTAGTGAATTGGCTAAGAATAAACCAATACGTAAAGGTGAAAGCAAGACTGTGCTGAAAGAAAAACAACAATCAAATGGTAACAAGTCCGTTGGTAAAGAAAATGATAAGGAGAAGTTGAATACGCAAGAAAAAGAGTTAACACCATCACCACCAATTCAAGCAACAATACAAAATCGTGATAAAACTAAACGTAAACGCACACCTACACCAGTTAATAACAATACCAATAACAACAGCACTAACAATAGTAATGTATCTGCTTTAGCTGCTACCGTGCCTGGTGAGATAACAATATTCACTAATGAATTTCTGGACCATAATAAAGTACACGATATGGAACTTCGCACACTACGTAAATCTAAAGCGGATTTAGAGCAACAAAATGCTGTACTAGAGAAGCACGTGGAGAATATGAAATTTGGAGTTGAGAAAATGGCTAATGAAAACAATGAACTGGAGGAAAAGAATCGTTTGCTGGAACTTTATTTAGGTAAATTAAAAGTTAAATTAGCTCATGCATTTGCTACTTTGCCATTGCCAATGGAACCTAATGGTGCTAATACTGATAATATTGAAAAATATATGAGCGAACTATATAAAATGGCCACCTCCAATACTCATGGACCTGCTTGTTTAAATAAGGCAAAGGATATTTTGCGTAAATTAGACTTACAAATACAATTGTAAGTATCTTTAACCTCCAATCCAACATATCAAAGGCTGATGATTTGTAAGTTTATTTATTAATAAGTGTATTTATTTAATTATTTATGCAATAATTATATATACGCAATAAAGGTTGTTATTTCATTGAAATTAAAATTTCAAAAATGTTTATTTAAAATAAGTTTTCTCAAGTTTATCTTATTTTAAATTAATTCAGTATTGTTTTTGTTTAGCTGGAGAATAGATAAACATTCCAACTACAGAATTAAAAATTGTTATTAAAATGTAAAATGAAATAGAATATAACACTTTTTACTTTACATTATTATTATTTATAATTATAATTTATTTATTTTACAAACGAGCAATATTTATATCAATGTAAATTATTTACATTAATTTGATATTTTTTAATTTTTTAATTTTTTTTTTAATTTATTAATTTTTTTTTTAATTTATTAATTTTTTTTTTAATTTATTAATGTTTTTTTTTTCCATTTATTGATTTTTTTTCTTCTTTAAGCTAAAAACATGTTTTTTTTGTTATAATTTAATAACTAATTATTTCAACCTATTAAACTAATATAAGAAATATGTAATTTTAATATTTATTTAACTGCACAAGGTTTTAAGAAAATTTAATTAATAAATGTTGTAAATAATATAAAATAGAAACGATGCAAATACTTATTGACAACTACGGTTAAATGTGTTTATCATGTTTATAAAACTAATAAAAGTAAAAATTAATTGTATTATTTTTTATTAATTTTTTTTTTAATAATATATAACTCTTTGCAATTCATGAGAACTCTTCGATAACGAAATAACTTATTTGAGATAATAAATGGAAAGTTCACTTTAATACTGTTTTTTCTCTTAAACAATATAGGATTACAGAAGTTCAAACTATTATCTTAATAGATTCCTTTTTAGGTAAAAATAAATACGTAAGAAGTGTAAAGAAAGTGTAAAAAATAAGTTAGGAAAGGATAAAGAAAATAATTTTAACTGGTTAAAGAATGTGACAAACTTTAAAGATTGGGTTCGCTAGTTAATGAGTTGCCAACTTAACTACTTGACTCTGAGAGAGATGTCTATATTAAGTCCAACATTTTCTTTCTCTAAGTTCCTGATAAAAGGGATATTGCAGCAATAATATGGTGCCTCAGACACATATTTGAAACATTTAAATAATCTATGTGAGGAAAATAGTCATTCTAAAATAGATGAGCTAGTTAGAAAGTATGCTTTAGGAACATATTCGAAACCTCTAACTAATTTTAACAAACTATTTTCATTATATAAATAGTTATAAAACTTTTTTTGTATAATACAAATTATTATTAGATTTAACGATATTAGGTTTAATATTAGGCTTAACGATATATAGACAGTTGTACGCAAGTTGTTTCTTCTCAAATAGAAAAAAAATGTAGCAATATTATTGAAATTTTCTATAAAGATATCACTCCAATAGTGTGTGTGCTTAAAAGGCCCTTTTGGTAAAGAAATCATAACAGGATATAGAATAGGCCTTTTAATTACTTTTGTCGTAACTGTAAGGAAGACAACGAAACTGTTTCATATCTGCTATGTACCTCTCCAGCTACAAAAGCTCCTATTTAAAATAAACTTAGAATTTTTGATGGTTCCAAAACTTAAGGGTTTTCTGTAGCAAAGGAATGGCTCAATGGGGGTATGAGGGTCATTGAATCAAAATAATAACCTTAAGTTATTTGTTTATTTAGTCTCACTGATAATAATTATATAGGAAAATAAATCTAATGATTACTAGCCATGGAAGTAACCAAGGGAAAGCTTTTAGAATAGTACATCCGCAAAAGGGTACCGAAGCAATATTTTCATTATAAAAAAAGACCCATGTGAGAATACTGCCACCCTTAAATGCTGATTGTCTAAAGTCCAAGGTATGGAAAATATAATAAGAGGTATTTAAGCAGTCATTATTTTAGTGGAAAGAGCCTTTTTGGTTTAATTTTGTGCAAACATTTTCCGTGCTATATCGAATTCTGTCTACGCCTACGTTAGTAAGTCTGTGTAGTGAGTTGCTTTTACGAAAATTTTGTAAATCAGTACTATTGTTGTGATATCATTGGAAGTTCAACTGTTTTTAAAGAATCTTCCTTATTATTGTTCTTCTTGAAGAATTATAACATTATAATCCAAGTAGTAAATTGCATCTACTCCTTATGGCCAAGTGACTATGAAGTATAGACTTGACCGTTTCTGGAACCTTTAAAACAGACATCGTGGTAGTTTATTTATTCGAGTAATTAATTGCATTTTTATGGATTCATCTCAAATAATCTCTTTCAGAACTATTTAATTCAGAGCATTAAAGGTACATTTTGCAATTCTTTTGCCTTTTTATTGTTTTATGACTCTGGTTATATGGATAAAGTTTTAAATATTTGGTTCTAAAACCTCAATTTGTATAAATAATATTTGAATTAAGTAATTGGATTAAAAATGCATTAAAACTTGCAAACCATGAGGACGACGTGACCGTGAATTTATATGCCCTTAAATTATTCCATATATCAGTAGAGAATTCCCACAGGAAAACATCGCAAACAAAGAATTTTTGCAACACCTCCTTTAGTTTAGGGCATTCATATTTAAGGAAACTTGAAATGGGGATGAAAATCAAAATTAAATGCAACACCTCCCCCTGCCAGTGTACCGAAATAGAGCGAAAGAAAATCAATCGCAGTCGGTCCCACTGCAGCACAGCATTTGCAATTCAAGTAGTGCCAGTGACAACACATTTCACTTGGTTTAAAACTGTTCAGTGGTGGTTATCAACTTCTGATGCTAATAATGCTGTCACGTGTCCCGGTACTTCGTGAGATTCGTAAAAGAATGCTGTGGAATAAGCGAACAGATTGCACAAAATAGTTTGATTTCGAATTCGTCAATTATTTCCACATGATCGGCTTTTATAATACAACATTTAAGACAATACGTCATAAATGAGGGTAAGAGTTCCATAATGTATATTGTTTGTATAAGCAATTGGATTCTTCATTATTTTGATGAAGTGTTTTCCTTTAGAGTATTTGCTTTGTATTATCTTTATCTCAACTATTAATATTGGTCTTAGATTAGTGAATATAACTTTAATGAAAAGAAATTATTTTTATAAAAGAAATAGTCATTTGATTATGGTTGAAAGTCAAACCTACTATAAAATGTATTATGGTACACCCATAAATTTAAACACCTTTTTAGAAATGGCATAAGAAATATTATTGTGGCGTAGAAAGAACTAAAAGTAGTTTAGTTCATGAAGAACTAAAAAACTTATAAGACATTGTTTTGATTGTGTTGGAAAATGATATAGAATACGGTCCACGTGCTATCGACAACGACGAAGTAAACACAATAAACCTCTTGCACTTCTAATAAATATTGGAGTGCTAAACAATATTCTTTATTATCTTTGAAATAAACATAAATAATATATATTACGTATTAAATGTTAACCACAATTATATACTATATACTATAGAATATACTATAGTATATAGAATATATATATAGTATATAGAATTATTGGCATCTTATTTACTATATTACAATCCGTTTATTAAATTTAATATATTCTTTTCTCAATATGTACGTGAAGAGTGCACTCAGCCCCTTCCTGTGTACGCCCATGCCTCTTATGAAAAAAGAAACTATTTACAAGTTAGAAAGATTCGAATAGAAATGAGAAGATAACAATAAAAGTTTTGTTAATTTATTGAAATTTGGCTGACCATACAACGCTATGTTGCGGATTGTATGAGTACTTGCATCATCAGTGGTCTTAAAAAATGTTCGAATTTTTTAATTAGTTTATAGTCCATATATAATTTGTATGAACTACAAATGCAAGTGTAATTTATATATTTACATTATAAATATTATATATGTATGTATGTTTGTACGTATGTACGTATATATATTTTCATTTTAAAATTTCATTTTTACTGTATGATTAGTGAATCTAAAATTAAGATATAAATAAATAAAATCAAAATAGCGACTTTGACACGTCCATCGTATTATAAATATTATTTTATAACTATTATTTATTAGTATTAAATATTAAGTATTATTTATAAGTATTATTTAAAAATATTCATATATAATAAAAATAATTAAAGTAATTTGTTTTTCAATTAATTTTATTTAGTATGCATATTTATATATATTAATAAATTAATATGAAAATTAAAAATAATTAAAAAAAAATAATTTAAAAAAAACATTTTTCTAAACCAAAAAGATACATTTTCTTAGTATACTTTTGATTTGAGTAATTACACACAGCATCGAACATGTTCAAATACCACGCACAATGCACATTACAACATCCAACAATGTTGTGTTGGATTCACATTTGCAACCAAGCGACCAAGCAACCAAGTAATTCAGTTTGAGCTCGTCGGGCCACATGATTGTGTATCGAAAGTTCGCGCGGAAGAGTTTTGTGGGATGGAAATGTTATTAATATTTAAATAAAAAATGTGCATTGCATTATTGAATTATATATAAAATTTAAATATATTATAAAATATTTGAATAAAACAGATTTATATTCTAAAACGAAATTAGATCTTTTTAAAGTTTTGTAAAAGAAAAAATATAAAAATAGCGGCTCATATGCAGGTAGCGCCTGTGCAATACACCAACAACAAACGCAGCAGAGTAGCAACAACAACGAAGTGTGTACACAGGTGAAAAATACGCGAAATTTCTGTGATAAATGATTTGTTGGTGATTATTGTGATAATGATGATGATGTCGATAATGATGATGTTGACAAAAAGTCATTATTATTATCAGCGCTATGGTTAGTTGTAATGATAAAGTGCATAGATTAAAATAATCCATAAAATGAGTAGCAAACAAAAATCAATAAGATATAAATAAATACAATTAATAATTAAATAAATAAAATTGGTAATATTTTAAGTGTTTTTGAGACTACATTATTTTGTTGGTAAAGTGAATGAAGTTGAAGTTGTTTTTTTTTAATATTGTTAAAAATATTTAAATAGAAAAAAAATGGTTTTTATATTAATTACTGTAAAGAACACATAAATTGAATTTCT